TTCTTCGCTTCTCTTCTCTAGTTCTCTCTCTCCCTCTCTCTCTTCTCTCTCTCTAGTTCTATCTATTCTTCTATTCTCTATATTATCTCTCTCTTCTCTTCTCTCTCGTTCTACTCTTTCTCGTTCTCTCTCTCTCTCGTTTTCTCTCTCGTTCTCTCTCTACTCGTCTTCTCTCTTGTTCTCTCTCTCTCTCTCGTTCTCTCTCATTCTCTCATTCTCTCATTCTCTCTCGTTCTCTCTTTCTCTCGTTCTCTCTTTTTGATCATGTATATGTTTTTGCTGTTTTTTCTTGGTGATTGGAGAAGTGATTTATTCATTTCTGTTCTCTCTCTCTCGTTTTCTCTCTCGCTCTCTCGTTCTCTCGCTCTCTCGTTCTCTCTCGTTCTCTCTCGTTCTCTCTCTCTCTCGTTGTCTCTCTCTCTCGTTGTCTCTCTCTCGTTCTCTCTCTCTCTCATTGTCTCTCTCTCGTTCTCTCTCTCATTCTCTTTCTCTCTCTCTCTCGTTCTCTCTTTCTCTCTCTCGCTCTCTCTTTTTGATCATGTATATGTTGTTGCTGTTTGTTCTTGGTGATTGGAGAAGTGTGGTTTATCCATTTCTGTTCTCTCTCTCTTGTTCTCTCTCTCTCTCGTTCTCTCTCTCTCGTTCTCTCTCGTTCTCTCAATTCAATTCAATTTAACTTCAAGCTGCTTTATTGGCATGAAAAATATTGTGTCAATATTGCCAAAGCAACAATGTATACAATATATATATATATACTGTAAGTCGCTCTGGATAAGAGCGTCTGCTAAATGACTAAAATGTAAATGTAAATGTAATAAAATAATAAATAATAATAAATGCTAGTAAATAATTATAAATAAATAACAACAATAAAATGGTAACAGTATAAATATAATAAATATACAAATCTAAATATGGAAAATGAAACTATAACTAACTTATAACTAAATAACGGTAATCTTCACCATTATATCAGTACTACAACTACCATCATCATTACTACCACAACTACCACCACCATCATTAAACTGCCATCATTACCATTACCACCCATACCACTACTATTTGGAATGATAAACAACAATAATAATGGTAATAACAATAATAGCAATAACAATAATAATAAGTAAGTTACTATTTACTATGCAGATGTTATTATTCAATGTCCCTCAGGCTATGGCAGGCAAATACATATTTGGCTGCAAGAGGAGCCATAGCTCCTTCGCCCATGAGTATTTTAAGTTTTTCCTCTGGGTTTAATAAGTTAAAATTTTGAATAAATCTAGTCATTTCTGTGAATAATGAATCTCTTTGTGAGGAATATTTATCACAGTAAAGGAGAAAGTGCATTTCTGTTACTACCTCCCCTGTCGTGCAGTGACCACATATACGCTCCTCTTTGGGTAGCCATGTCTTTTTATGTCTGCCGGTTTCTATTGCCAATTGATGGTAACTCAGCCTGTACTTGGTAAGGATCTGTCTCTGCTTCGTATCTCTGACAGAGTAGAGATAATCAGCCAATTCATATTCTCTGTTTAGGGTCAGATGGCAATTTAGTCGGCTTTGGCATTTTGTTTCGTTTTTCCAATGTTGTAAATATGAGTCCTTTGATTGGTTCGTGATTTTGTTCATTGGAATTCTTTCTTTTGAAGCAGTGCTGGTGTCAGCTTGGTTGGTTAGGTCCAACAGCAGCTGACTGAGAGGGCTCGTTTCTGGGCTCAGCTCTTGGGTTTGAAGTGCTTTAAATTGCAGACTTGAATTTGGACTTGAATTTAGATGTAGCCAAAATTGTATTGATCTTTTCTGTATTTTCATTACTACTGGAAAGCGGGCCAATCCTGCAATTTTCCAACAGAATTCTGCATGTAGGGCTTCAATTGGATGTTTGTCCCATATTTTAAAGTCCAGTTTATTGAGTGGCCCCCAAACCTCACTTCCATAAAGAGCTATTGGTAGGATTACACTGTCAAATATTTTGGTCCAAATTGTAATTGGGATGTTGATTTTGAAGAATTTCATTTTTATTGCATACAATGCTCTGCGGGCTTTTTCTTTGAGTGCATTCACTGCCGTATTAAAGTTTCCCGATGCAGATATGGTCAGACCAAGGTATGTGTAAATTTTAGTGTGTTCAATTATGGTGTTGTTTAGGGTGAATTTATATATCTATGTTATTTTTTTGGAAAATCAGGATTTTAGTGTTTTTGAAATTTACTGCCAGGGCCCAATTATTGCAATATTGCTCTAGAATGTTAAGGTTCTGTTGAAGACCTTCTTTGGTTGGTGATAGAAGTACCAAGTCATCAGCATATAGCAGGTATTTTACCTCTGTGTCAAATAGTGTGAGTCCTGGGGCTGGAGAATGGTCCAACATGTCTGCTAACTCATTGATATAAATGTTGAAAAGATTTGGACTCAAACTGCAGCCTTGTCTCACACCTCGACGTTGTGAAAATAATTATGTTCTTTGGTTTTTGATTTTTATTGCACACTTGTTTTCTGTGTACATACATTTTATTAAGTCATACACCTTACCACCAAGCCCACTTTGGAGAATTTTGTAGAATAGCCCTTCATGCCAAATAGAATCAAATGCTTTTTTAAAGTCAATAAAGCAAGCAAAGATTTTGCCCTCTTTTTTTTGGTGGACGTGTTTATTAATTAGTGTGTGTAAGGTGTATATATGGTCAGTAGTGCGATGGTTAGGGAGAAAGCCAATTTGACATTTACTTATTACATTTTTCTCTTGAAGAAAGGTTTGAATTCTTGAATTCAAAATGCTACAGAAAACCTTTCCCAAGTTGCTGTTTACGCAAATTCCCCTGTAATTATTGGGGTCTGATTTGTCTCCACTTTTGTGGATAGGGGAGATGAGCCCCTGGTTCCAGACATCAGGGAAGCAGCCAGAAGTTAAAACTATGTTGAACAACTTAAGCACAGCATTTTGCAACTCAGGTGTGCTGTTTTTCAGCATTTCATTTCTGATGTTATCTAGACCACAAGCCTTCTTTGATTTTATAGATTTTAGCTTTTCATTTAGTTCTTGTTGGGTTATTGGGTAATCTAATGGATTTTGGTTGTTTTTAATGACCGATTCAAGGATGTTCAATTTTTCTTGAATTTCTAATTGGTTCTGTTGTAAGTCTTTTTGTGGGATGTTTTTGTATAGATTATCAAAATAAGTTTTCCAAATTCCTTCATCTTGTATGGCTAATTCTTGTGGCTTTGTCATGCTTAAATTGTTCCACATGTCCCAGAACTGATTTTGGTCAATTGCACTTTCAATTTCATCAAGTGTCTTGTTGGTATCTTTCTTGCGTTTCAGTGTATGTTTCTACTGTTTCAGAGTTTCAAAGTATTCATAGCGTAGATCTGGGTTGTTTTGCTGCTTATGTTTTTCATTTGAAATTTGTCTTAGGTGTTTTCCAATTGTTTTACATTCGTTATCAAACAATTTTTCAGAAACATTTTGTTTTTTGTTTCTGATGTTGCATTTCTTTGGTTTTCTCAAATTTGCTTTCGATGCTGCTTTTTGGAAAATGCAATTGATGTTTTGAGTAGCCGAATTGACACCTTCTTTGTTGTTTTGGTATTGTGAGCAATTGAAAAACTGTATAGAGTTCATCATTTCATTTGAGTTCAATGTTTCAATTAATCTCTCTGCACTGTTTTGAGCCCATCTGTACGATTGGTTCATGTTGTAGAGTTTATTCGGCTGTTTTTTTGAATGAATATTGCCGGTTAATTTCTTCAGAAACACGTTGATCTGACTGTGATCTGACAATGGTGTCTGTGGTCTGACAGTGAATGCACTAATGGAGGAGGGGTCCATGTCAGTGATGGCATAATCGACTACACTTGTCCCAAGAGCTGAGCAGTAAGTAAACCGACCTAAAGAGTCCCCTCTGATTCTACCATTAAGCATGTACAGGCCTAAGGCTCGACAGAGATGCACTAACTAATTATCATTTTTGTTCAGTATTTGGTCAGGACTGTTTCTATTATTTATAATTGGGCTACTGTACAAGGATGGGTGTCCAAATATGTGGTGGTTACCTCCCGCATCAGTGTAGTCAGGCTCAGAACCTGTTCTTGCATTGAACTCTCCACAATGAAGCACTTTACCCTCTGCCTGAAATTGAATGATTTCTGTATGGAGATTGTCAAATTATGATGAATCTGAAGGAGGAGCATAAGCTGCACATATGTATACATCATTGTCACAATAGATTGTACCTTTGTTAAGTTTTTACCAAATGTGATTAGTACCTTTTTTCATTTCATTCAGTGCTAAGTCCTGCTTATACCAAATGATGATTCCACCTGAGTCTCGGCCCCGTTTAACATTTTTATGTTTGATTGATGGTAGTAAACTTTCTCTATAGCCTGAGGGACACTGAGTATCTATGTCTCCACGACACCATGTTTCCAGTAGGATTATGATGTCCTGTCCCTTGATGTTTTTAATATATTCTGGATTTGTTGTTTTATAACCAAAAATGTGAAGAGTATAGACCCTGGATATTCCAAGAGCTGATAGTTAATGATCTCATTTATAATAAGTGATATTCACTGGTTTGAGTAAAGTACATTGAAAAAAAATAAAAAATAAAAAATAATAATAGTTATATATATATATATACACATACATACATACACATACATATATACATACACATACATACACACACACCATTACACATCACTGTTATTATAATACCAGTGCCAATAAAATAAAGGATAGTTGTAAAGAAATTAATAAGAATGGCCCAAAAAATAAGTACAATGCAATCTGCAACCCTGTGTTTTGTGTGTGTGGTGTGTGTGTGTGTGTGTGGTGTGTGTGTGTGTGTGTGTGTGTGTGTGTGTGTGTGTGTGTGTGTGTGTGTGTGTGTGTGTGTGTGTGTGTGTGTGTGTGTGTGTGTGTGTGTGTGTGTGTGTGTGTGTGTGTGTGTGTGTGTGTGTGTGTGTGTGTGTGTGTGTGTGCGCGCGCGTGTGAATTAAAGGGTCTGTCTAGCCCAGTAGTCTGCATATTAGATGCAGTAGTTGGAGCACCTCTCCTATCTCTGATAGTTCTAGGTGTCTTTTGCCAGAGGTTACCTCAGCATATGTAGGCTGATGATCTGAATGATACATGGTGTGGACTGCATCATGTGGTGCACTTCTCTGAAGGACAGTGTTCTGCCCGACCCTGGAGTAGTGGTCAGTGCTGTGTTGTGATGGGCCGGGTCCAGTAGAACTGTGTTGTGATGGGCCGGGTCTACTAGAGCTGTGTTGTGATGGGCCGGGTCTAGTAGTGCTGTGTTGTGATGGGCCGGGTCTGGTCGTGCTGTGTTGTGATGGGCCGGGTCTGGTCGTGCTGTCCTGAGGCGGGTCTGGTCTGGTAAATCTGTGCTGTGTTGGGCCTGGTCTAGTAGAGCTGTGCTGTAATAAGCCGTGTCTGGCTCTTCTCTCCTGGGGATGGTGGGGGTACTGTTGTTTCAGAAGGTGGGGCAGGGGGTGATGGGTGTGTGGGTCCCTGCCAAGTGTTGCATCCTTTAGGTCCTTAGCAAAAGTTCTGACACTGTCCTGATCAAGATGTACATTATGTCAGAGTGGGGTGGTGAGCCGTTCTGACGTTGAGCAGTGAGAAACAGTCCACAGTGATCTGTTGATTTATTTTGTCGATCAACTGTCCTGGGAAGCCTTTTCTTGGTAGGAGGGTGGACACAACTACACTGCTCACATCCTAGATATGAATGAATTAAATAATCTTATTAAATACTTTTTTCTTTACATAGTTGAATGTGCTGACAACAAAATCACACAAAAATTATCAATGGAAATCAAATTTATCAACACATGGAGGTCTGGATTTGGAGTCACCCTCAAAATTAAAGTGGAAAACCACACTACAAGCTGATCCAACTTTGATGTAATGTCCTTAAAACAAGTCTAAATTAGGCTCAGTAGTGTGTGTGGCCTCCACGTGCCTGTATGACCTCCCTACAACGCCTGGCATGCTCCTGATGAGGTGGCGGATGGTCTCCTGAGGGATCTCCTCCCAGACCTGGACTAAAGCATCCGCCAACTCCTGGACAGTCTGTGGTGCAACGTGGCGTTGGTGGATGGAGCGAGACACGATGTCCCAGATGTGCTCAATTGGATTCAGGTCTGGGGAACGGGCGGGCCAGTCCATAGCATCAATGCCTTCCTCTTGCAGGAACTGCTGACACACTCCAGCCACATGAGGTCTAGCATTGTCTCGCATTAGGAGGAACCCAGGGCCAACCGCACCAGCATATGGTCTCACAAGGGGTCTGAGGAGCTCATCTCGGTACCTAATGGCAGTCAGGCTACCTCTGGCGAGCACATGGAGGGCTGTGCGGCCCCCCAAAGAAATGCCACCCCACACCATGACTGACCCACCACCAAACCGGTCATGCTGGAGGATGTTGCAGGCAGGAGAACGTTCTCCACGGCGTCTCCAGACTCTGTCACATGTGCTCAGTGTGAACCTGCTTTCATCTGTGAAGAGCACAGGGCGCCAGTAGCGAATTTGCCAATCTTGGTGTTCTCTGGCAAATGCCAAACGTCCTGCACGGTGTTGGGCTGTAAGCACAACCCCCACCTGTAGACATTGGGCCCTCATATCACCCTCATGGAGTCTGTTTCTGACCGTTTGAGCAGACACATGCACATTTGTGGCCTGCTGGAGGTCATTTTGCAGGGCTCTGGCAGTGCTCCTCCTGCTCCTCCTTGCACAAAGGTGGAAGTAGCGGTCCTGCTGCTGGGTTGTTGCCCTCCAACGACCTCCTCCACGTCTCCTGATGTACTTTCCTGTCTCCTGGTAGCGCCTCCATGCTCTGGACACTACGCTGACTGACACAGCAAACCTTCTTGCCACAGCTCGCATTGATGTGCCATCCTGGATGAGCTGCACTACCTGAGCCACTTGTGTGGGTTGTAGACTCCGTCTCATGCTACCACTAGAGTGAAAGCACCGCCAGCATTCAAAAGTGACCAAAACATCAGCCAGGAAGCATAGGAACTGAGAAGTGGTCTGTGGTCACCACCTGCAGAACCACTTCTTTATTGGCGGTGTCTTGCTAATTGCCTATAATTTCCACCTGTTGTCTATTCCATTTGCACAACAGCATGTGAAATGTATTGTCAATCAGTGTTGTTGACTTGGAGTTACATTGTGTTGTTTAAGTGTTCACTTAATTTTTTTGAGCAGTGTATATTGGTTGTTGGGAACATAGCCTGTGCCCGTTCTGCTACTCTTCTCACTGCCCCAGATACATTTTCACCTTTGGCATGAAGGTCGTTTGTGCCAGTGTGGATGATGATGTTGTCAGGGGTGTCAATCCTGGTCTGACTGAGTAGCTGCATTGCACTGTCAGTTGTAGGACACCAGAAGTTATACACCTGGTGTCAAGGGAATAATCTTTCCTGGACTAAGAACTTCCCATTTGAATCAATAAGGATTGCAGTTGTGGGTGACTGTCTGGGTGGAGCAGACTGGGAGACTGGTATTCTGACCTGGGCTGGAGAAGACTGGGTGGCTGGTTGGCTGACCTGGGCTGGAGAAGACTGGGTGGCTGGTTGGCTGACCTGGGCTGGGGCAGACTGGGTGGCTGGTTGGCTGACCTGGGCTGGAGCAGACTGGCAGGCTGGTATTCTGACCTGGGCTGGAGCAGACTGGGTGGCGGGTGCAGTGTCATCAGGCTGTGTGGTGGAGGCCATGCTGGTCTCAGGTTCTGCTTATGTTGTACCAGGCTGGTGGACATGTTCTCTAGATGCAGAGGACATATTGACTAGCTGCTGGTTGAGGGGGTCAATGTACCTCCTCTCTCTGTTCTAGCTCCTCTCTTGTTGTGCTCAGATGGTCTCTGATGTCATCATTTGTCTGACTCAGTTTGTCCATTCTGCTTTCTAATTCAGTAATAGATGCTCTGCTCTCCTCCCTGAACTGTTTCATCTCTTCTTTTAGTTTCTGGACAGTGTCCTCCTCTTGACGTGTTGCTCTGGTCAGCTTCTTCAAAAATGCTGATCTGACATCCTTGGCTGATGCCTCTCTTTTTTGAGAAAGGGAAATTGTTGCAAAATTGTTGCCCTCGTTTGGTGTTAAATATTACATTTGTTCTTGTTTTGCAACTGCTAAGATCTGCAAACAGGCATTCATGGTTCTGTCCCATCGTCAAACCTTTGAAACTTTTCTTAGCTTTCTCCGTCTGGATGTCTGGTGGGTAAACAATTTCCATAGCAACGCTGTACACAATGTTACAATAGAAGCGTTATTCTTGTATTATTTGTATTATTCTTGTGTCTTTTAGAGGACTGTTTTACTTTGATGTCCTTGTTTGCTATTTTGTCTTATTGCCCTTTTTCTT